GTTAAATTTAAATGGAACGAACACGCATCCGTTTCTCTACTTCTTTCGTTACGGCTCATTCACACTATTAGGATGTTGGAACCCTTGAAAAATAGGTCGCAGATTACAACTATCGATCTACCGGAATCCATCAACTGTCCTTTGCGTTCCTAATTCTCTCTCGCTTCATCTTTATTCACGCTTCATTCATCCACTTCATTTCTTCATTCCATTGTAACAAAGATGAACAAAGAGAATAGGAACCCAGATTTACCATTATTTCCCAGTTGTAAAGATTATAACCTAGATCCTGTACTAACCTGTCAAGTAATTTCCAACTGTCCAAAAGGCCTAAATTAGTTGAAACAAAGAGGGTAATGAAGCGAAGCGAAAGCACGCCTCTGTTTCATTTAATTTAGTTCTTTTGTGCTTTTGTGCTCATTAATTAAGCAAAACACGCACTGTTTTCTTTCATTTGTTTTTGCTTTAATTTAATTAGAACAAAACCAGGACACCTATGATTCGATTGTAGGAAAAGTGTGTCTTTGTCTTTTACGTTTGACCTATTTCACGCACTTCATATCTTCATTTGCAAATAAGTCAAAATTAAAGGACAAAGAGCCTCTTTACTTTTGCTCTACCACCAGCACCTTTTCCTTGGCACTGTGGTTCTCTTCTCTTCTTTCACTAGTTTAATTCATGCTTCCGCTCATTCCGTTCCTCCCTTTCGCTTCATTATAATTAAACTAGGTGAATAGAAGGAAGAGAGCACAGTGGGAAAGGAAAATGAACCACCTATGATTACCCGTGTGTTCCTTTCACTTAATTAAACATAAAGGAATGAAAGAAGCGAAGCGAATAGAATGGATGCATGCTTTAATTAAAGAGAAAGAAACCACGGGCCAGGAATTCAAGGGTTCCCAGGTGTAATAATCTTTCCCAGCGGTTAACCTTTATTCCACCATTTGGGTCTTTTGGTTCTATCTATCGTTCCTCACTTTCAAGGTGTTGCACGGTTCATCAGGTTCTCCACTCATTTCCAAGGCATTAACTGACCTAGAGTTCCTACACCTTTAGGATACAACTACAACCGTGTAACAGAGGAGCGGTGGAGATGAAGAGAGTATTTTGTTTCATTTCGTTTTAATTAGATTCAATGGAATGACAATGAAGCGAGATTTAATTAAACGA